AAGACACAACTAAGAAAGAAAACTACAGACCAATATCCCTGATGAACATCGATGCAAAAATACTCAATAAAATAATGGCAAACCGAATTCAAAAATACATCAGAGAAATCATCCACCATGATCAAGTAGGCATCATACCTGGATTGCAGGGATGGTTTAACATACGAAAATCTATCAACGTGATCCACCATATAAACAAACGGAAAAAGAAAAACCATATGATTATCTCCCTAGATGCAGAAAAAGCCTTCGATAAAATTCAACACCCTTTCATGATAAAGGTATTAGAGAGGTCAGGGATAACAGGAACATACCTAAACATAATAAGAGCAATATACAGCAAACCAACTGCCAACATCAAACTGAATGGAGAGAAACTTAAGCCAATTCCTCTAAAATCAGGAACAAGACAAGGCTGTCCTCTCTCTCCATATCTCTTCAATATCGTACTAGAAGTTCTAGCTAATGCTATAAGACAACAAAAGGAGATCAAGGGCATCCAAATTGGAAAGGAAGAAGTCAAACTGTCTCTATTTGCAGATGATATGATAGTTTACATAAGCGACCCAATAAACTCTACCAGGGAACTCCTACAGCTGATAAACACCTTCAGCAAACTAGCAGGATACAAGATAAACTCAAAAAGAATCTGTAGCCCTACTTTTTTCAGACGGCAAAGACACAGAGAAAGAAATCAGAGAAACATCACCCTTTACAATAGCCACAAGCAACATAAAGTATCTTGGTGTAACGCTTACCAAACAAGTAAAAGATCTATATAATAAGAACTTTGTGACTCTAAAGAAAGAAATTAAAGAAGATACCAGAAAATGGAAAGACCTCCCATGTTCTTGGATAGGTAGGATAAACATAGTAAAAATGGCAATCTTACCAAAAGCAATCTACAGATTCAATGCAATCCCCATTAAAATCCCACCACAATTCTTCACCGACCTTGAAAGGATAATAATCAACTTTATATGGAAAAACAAAAGACCCAGGATAGCCAAAACAACCCTATACAATAAAAGAACATCAGGAGGCATCACCATTCCTGACTTTAAGCTCTACTACAGAGCTATAGTTCTGAAAACAGCCTGGTATTGGCATAAAAATAGACAGGTAGACCAATGGAATCGAATTGAAAATCCTGATATTAACCCACGCACCTATGACCACCTGATTTTCGACAAAACAGCTAAAATTATACAATGGGGCAAAGACAGCATCTTCAACAAATGGTGCTGGCACAATTGGATGAGGGTGTGTAGAAGACTGCAGATAGACCCATGTCTGTCGCCATGCACAAAACTCAAGTCCAAATGGATCAAAGACCTCAACATCAATCCAGCCACATTGAACCTCTTAGAAGAGAAAGTAGGAGGTACTCTTGAACATATTGGTATAGGAGACCGCTTCTTGAACATAACTCCAGGGGCACAGACACTGAAAGAAACAATTAATAAATGGGACCTCTTCAAACTTAGAAGCTTCTGTAAGGCAAAGGACACAGTTGACAAGACCAAACGGCAGCCCACTGACTGGGAAAAGATTTTCACTAATCCTATATCCGACAAAGGGCTGATCTCCAAAATATACAAAGAACTCAAGAAACTAGTCAACAAAACACCAAATAACCCTATTAAAAAATGGGGTACAGAACTGAAGAAAGAATTCTCAATGGAGGAAATCAAAAAGGCTGAAAGACACTTAAGAAAATGCTCCACTTCCTTAGCTATCAGGGAAATGCAAATCAAAACAACTTTGAGATACCATCTTACCCCTGCCAGAATGGCTAAAATTAGAAACACCAGTGATGACTTATGTTGGAGAGGATGTGGAGAAAGTGGAACACTCCTCCACTGCTGGTGGGAGTGCAAACTCATACAGCCACTTTGGAGATCAGTATGGCGGTTCCTCAGGAAAATGGGAATTAGTTTACCACAGGACCCGGCAATCCCCCTCTTAGGCATATACCCAAAGGATTCACATCAATGCAACAAAGACATCTGTTCAACTATGTTCATAGCAGCACTGTTTGTAATAGCAAGAACCTGGAAGCAACCTAGATGCCCTTCAATTGAAGAATGGTTAATGAAGATGTGGCACATCTACACAATGGAATACTACTCTGCAGAAAAAAATAATGGTATCTTGAAATTCGCAGGCAAGTGGATGGCACTTGAAGAAACCATCCTGAATGAGGTAACCCAGTCACAAAAAGAGGAACACAGTATTTTCTCACTCATATATGGATTTTAGACCTAGATCAAATGATCACCAGCATATAATTCACATCACCAGAGGAACTAGGATACAAGTTGTATTCTAAGAGATTCATATAAAGTCCCTCACAGGACTGGGAAGGGACAAGTCCCCCAGACCTCAGGTATAGTGGGGGAGGACAGCTAATGGAGAGAGAAGTAGGAGAAAATGAGAGGGAGGAGAGGAAGGCATGTGCGACCAGGAGGATTGAGCCTGGTTAGGAATGGAAAATAGGAAAGAGAGAGAGAGACAGAGACAGAGAGAGAGAACATAAAAGAGGGAGCCAATATTGGTTTGAAGATAAAGTTGAACACAAAGAAAGGTCGAGGGAACTACAAGACTGCTCCCAACTAACAATCTCAGCTTCCGTGGAAAGGCTATCATAAATGCCCTTCCCGGAGAGTGAGATCAACAATTAACTTCTCCATGGAGGCCTCAACTAATGCCTGTTGAAAACAGGAGCAAACACCCATACATAAACACTGAGTCAAACTAGAACCCAGAAGCAGATGGAGAGGACAAGACCATGCGGTAGAAGTACATAGAGACAGCTTACCTGAACAAGGAGGAGCTAAGGGCCACTAGACTGATAGCTGGGAAGCCAACAGGGGTCTGACTCGGACCCCCCTGAATATGGGTCTCAGCCAGAAGGACAGAGCAGTCTAAGAGACCTCAGACAGTGGAGCCAGGATGTATCCCTGGTGCACAAAAGGACTTTGCAAACATATCCCCCATGGAGGGATAACTGCCTTATTCTAGAGATAGGAGAGAAGCCCTAGTCCCTACTTCACAGGACCTGTCAGATCTACATGACCCCAACTGGATGGCATTCCCCTACATATTGTATTGTGGTGGGGGGTTGGGAGGGGAGGGTGTTTAGAGTGCATGGGAGAGGGTAGAGAGGGCAAAAGGGAGGGAAGGAGGGAGGGAGGGCTTGGGGGGAGGGAGGGAGGGAGGGAGAGGGAACTGGAATCGACATGTAAAATAATAATAATAATAAAAAAAAAAAACGCTTTGACTCCAAAATTTAAGTTGAAGAACAAGTTACTGGGGAAAAGTATTTCTATTTTTGTTTCCACAGAAAATGAAAAGATGTGGATTCCTTCCAGACTAATGTGGTTTGATCACACCAGACCGCCTGAAACAGAGTACAAGCTGATCCTACATTCCAAACAGCTGGACAAAACAGCCCTACAGACTACAGCTAGGATATCTGAATCTTCTTCGAATCCCCCAAGACAGCGCCCCTTACCAGCAGGAAGTAGTTTGGAAAGAACGACGCCCAAATTCCCAAATATTGTGTATAAATGTTTGTTTTCATTTAATTGGACTTTGTTATATAAAATTAAATAAAAAATACTCTATATGCATGAAAAAAAAAAAAAAAGAACTCAAAAAAAAAAAAAAAAGTTAGTTGTTGATCTCACTATCCGGGAAGGGCATTTATGGTAGTCTTTCCACGGTTGCTCAAATTGTTAGTTGTAGTCAGTCTTGTAGGTCTCTAGATCTTTCTTTAGGTTCACTTTTCTCTTCAAACTAATAATGGCTCCCTCTTTATACTCTCTCTCTCTCTCTCTCTCTCTCTCTCTCTCTCTCTCTCTCTCTCTCTCTCTCTCTCTCCTGTCTTTTATTCCTGACTCAATCTTCCTAGTCACATGTGCTTTCCTCTCCTTTCCTTCTCTTTCTCCTAGTTCTCTCTCCATTCACTGTCCCCCACTTCCCCTGTGCTCTAGGGGACTTGTCCCTTCCCCCTTTTGTGAGGGACATTATATGGAATCTCTTAGAATACACCTTGTATCCTAGTTCCTCTGGTGGTGTGAATTATAGGCTGGTGATCCTTTGCTCTAGGTCTAAAATCCGTATATGAGTGAGTACATACCATGCTCCTCTTTTTGTGACTGGGTTACCCCATTCAGGATGGTTTCTTCAAGTGCCATCCTCTTGCCTGTGAATTTCAAGATTACATTGTCTTTTTTTCTGCAGAGTAGTGTTTCATTGTGTAGATGTGCCACATCTTCTTTATCCATTCTTCAGTTGAGGGGCATCTAGGTTGCTTCCAGGTTCTTGCTACTACAAATAATGCTGCTATGAACATAGTTGAGCATATGTCTTTGTTACATGGATGTGGATCATTTGGGTATATGCCTAAGAGGGGGATTGCCGGATCCTGTGGTATACTGATTCCCATTTTCCTGAGAAACTGCCATAATGATCTCCAAAATGGCTGTACAAGTTTGCACTCCCACCAGCAGTGGAGGAGTGTTCCATTTTCTCCACATCCTCTCCAACATAAGTCATCATTGGTGTTTCTAATTTTAGCCATTCTGGCAGGAGTAAGATGGTATCTCAAAGTTGTTTTGATTTGCATTTCCCTGATAGCTAAGGATATGGAACACTTTCTTAAATGTCTGTCAGCTTTTTTGATTCCCTCTATTGAGATTTCTCTCTTCAGTTCTGTACCCCATTTTTAATAGAGTTATTTGGTGTTTTGTTGACTAGTTTCTTGAGTTCTTTGTATATTTTGGAGATCAACCCTTTGTTAGTTGTAGGATTGGTGAAAATCTTTTCCCTGTCTGAATGAGAATATACTGTTAAATGAAAGATTGAGTAATAAGTGCATGTATAGTAAAACAGTCTGTCCTTTCTAGAGTGCTTTTAGTGAAAATAATTTGTGCTAAAATTTTTGACTTTTTTGTAGCCTGCATACAATTAGATGTCCAACTTGAGCTGACTCCATGGCCAATGAAAACAATGTAACTGAGTTAATTTTCACTGGCCTTTTCCAGGATCCAGAGGTGCAGAAGGTGTGCTTTGTACTCTTCCTCCCTGTGTACGTAGCCACAGTGCTGGGCAATGGCCTTATTGTTGTGACAGTCAACACCAGTAAGAATCTGTGTTCTCCCATTATTTCTTCCTCAGCTCCTTGTCCCTGGTAGAAATCTATTACTCTTCTACCATTGTCCCTAAGTTTATCACTGACTTACTTGCTAAGATTAAAACCATCCCTCTGAAGGGCTGTCTGACTCAGATATTTTTCTCCCATTTCTTTGGAGTTGTTGAAGTCATTCTGCTTGTGGTGATGGCCTATGTGGCCATCTGCAAACCTCTTCATTACATGAACATCATGAGTCATCAAGTGTGTCACATGCTGGTGGCTGGTTCCTGGCTGGGAGGCCTTATTCACCCCATAATCCAGATCCTCATCACTATTCCATTGCCCTTCTGTGGTCCCAATGTGATTGACCACTACTTCTGTGACCTCCAGCCATTATTTAAGCTTGCCTGCACTGACACCTTTATGGAGGGTGTTATTGTGATGGCCAACAGTGGTTTCATCTCCATAATCTCTCTCCTTATCCTGATGTCCTCTTACATCATCATCCTGGTCAACTTGAGGAGCCATTCTGCAGAGGGGAGGCGCAAAGCCCTCTCTACCTGTTCCTCTCACATTACAGTGGTCACTTTGTTCTTTGGGCCTGGTGCTTTTATTTACATGAGACCTTCCTCTATCTTCACTGTGGAAAAACTTGTGGCTGTGGTTCTATACTGTCATCAACCCCATGCTGAACCCCATTGTCTACACATTAAGAAATGCAGAGATGAAAAATGCCATAAGGAAGTTTTGGAGACCAAAGGAGAACTGATGGACCACAAACTAATTACAAATGTATCTTGTGTTTTTGTGTTTATTGAAATGGATTTTGTTTTCAGTAGGATTTTCTTTTCATTTTTTTCTAAAAGAAAAAAATCTACTACAAGTTGTAGTAAAAATATATTTATGGCACATTTTACTAGGTGACTTGCCCTATGCTGCTTTCCTTTTCCTTAAATAATTAGTTCTAAAATTAATCTACTATCATGAATCCAGGTCACTGAATTTCAGAGATATTTTTTATTATTTCAAACTAACTTTTCCTCTCTTGAAATTACTTGTTATGTTTATGTTTACTTAAGATAGATCATGTTTCCACAGTTTTTAATCTATCAAAGTGAGTAGAAAATAGATAATATGGATGAGTGTGAGAGGTTTTGTTAGATTTATTCTTCTCTATTTGCTCCACAGATGTGTCACATGGCACAGAATTGCTCTGTCCTTCATGTTTTGTTCCCTGGCAACTCCTTTGCAGTATGACTATTATTCTTTAGGACCACTATGAAGTAAATAAGGGTATTGGAATGAAGAGCTGTGATGCCTGGCTGTGGGCCTGATACAACATGTGAATGAGTGTTGAGTGGCATACACAGTGACACCACTGGCAATGTGGGGATTCATGCCCTTAGGAGGAGGATGTGGTGAAACAAATTGAAAACTATAACTTATGAATCTTTTTTCTGAAGTTTCCTATTTAATGTTTTGAGGCTGAGGTTAACCAAAGATGACTAGAACTGTGACACCTGGAAGCATAGCAAAGCAGAGTATACCACATATAGTTTTGTGTTTGTTCAATAATACACTTTTACATGGTAATGGAAATGAATATCTTACCTTTAAGTGTACCACTCCTTTTAAAAATTAGAACACAATTTTATGATTCATGAGCTATACCTTTGTAAATGATAAGCATTCAGCATTTAATGAATGCCAGTTGTTTTTTTCCACCGAGTCAGTAATTTATGTTGCTCTGTGGACATTTGTCCATGTTTGCAGATACCTGATTGTCACAGAGGCAGGAGTTGGTGGAGAACTAGGGAGAAGCCTCAAAGCCACAAGTGCTACATTGAACAACCTGTCATAGCTTCAAGGACAGTCCATGTTCCTTGTTGACATTTTTTTTTTTTTTTGAGACAGGGTTTCTCTGTGTCTCTCTCGAACTCACAGAGATCCACCTGGGATTAAAGGCGTGCACCACCAATGCCCGGCTCCTTGTTCACACTCACACGAACTTATCAAACACTAATTGTCCCATCTATTTTTTTCTTATCTGAAACTTTTAAGCCTTTGACAAAACAAACAAGTAAACAAACAACCAGTAAAAACAATAAATCTTATGACAAGAGTTATAAAAGCCATTATAGTGCTAGAGTAGAAAAGCCTGCTGTATTTTGAACTTTCCATCAGCACAGTTAAACAAAAACCCAAAACACCAGCAAGCTCAAATTAATCCATTGCTTTCTGCTGTTGAGTGGGGATGTGATGTGACTAGCCACCTCAAGTTCTTGGCTACCTTGCTTTCTCAGCAATGATGGAATATAGCCTGGAACTGTGAACTATATAAACCCTTTCTCACTTAAGTTTCTTTTGGCAGGGTTTTTTGTTTTTTGTTTTTTTTTTAATCACAGCAACATGAATTGACAGTAGGATAGATGAATATTCCTGGAGTAAAATCTGCTTCTTCTATGTGGAATAACTTTACCTTCCTTTAGCATACGGCAGAACCTTATATAGCCTTTAAAACTTAGGTTAATTAAAATCATCTTTCTTATAAATTCTCTCCTGAACTCCCTTCTCCTGGTGTAGACTTGGGTCTCCCTTTTGTAGCCAATTTAGACTTACATGATATAAACACCATCACTTCCAGTGATTATTCATGTGCATTTCTTAGACTGTATGCTGTCATGTGCAGAACTGTGCGCCCACCATTTCTTCCTCCTTGTAGTTCCTATGACTCTGCCCACAGTTGATGCCCCATAATCTCTTGTTGAGTGTGAATCCTTACAATGTCAAATCACATAGAATTTTTTGAACACTTATGTGCTGGTACCACATATTTTCCTCAGGCTCTGAAATTCATTAGGCTAATCCAATTGCCTATCAGCACAACCTGAGGTACATACTGCTTAACTTCTGTGAACAACTATTTTTAGTAATTAAATTTAACTATATCAATATCTTGATTAAACTCAAATAGGCTTACTCTGGGCATTAAATCAGATAATACACAAGCTAAGAATATGATACTCAATAAATATTAACTATATCAACATTATGCTGGTTGTTAGTTTTATTTATTTATTTTTGTGATAACTACATCTCTGGCTGTGGTCTTTCTCAAATGTAGATCCGCTCAGAATGGTGTATTTCATTTGTAGACCAACATTAATTGGTAGTTCATTCATCTTGATCTGAGTGTCTTGGGGGGATAGTGGTATATATATATATCTTTAATTAATAGAAGCACTAGAAGTCTACTAGTATTCAAGAGCTCTCAACTGTCTTTTCATAGCATTAAAAATCTAGTTTTTAGAATACTGATTTTAAAGTATCACTCTAGAGATAATCTGGAGCTAGGTATAGTGGTACATACCTGCAGTCTCAGCCACGGTAGGTGGAGGCAGGAGGTTCAGAAGTTCAAATCCACCTTCATTACAAATCAAGCTGGCAGTCCATGGCCTTAGCCAGCTTGGCCACTTTGTCCCATCCTCCCTGAGGAGTGGATTGGAGGATATGGATGGGGTTTTGGTGGGGGAAATGGGAGGGTGGGAGGGAGAGGGAACTGGGACTGGTATGTAAAATAAGATTGTTTTTAATTTACATAAAATTAATAAAAAACCAAATCAAGTTAGAAGCCAACATGTGTAATATGAGACCTTACTTCAAAAAAAACCAACAAAACAAAATAAAACAAACTCCAAAACAAAAAAACAAACAAACAAACAAAAAAAAAAAAACAAGGAAAGGAACACAATGAAAAACTGTGATAATGCAACAAATATTCTATCTAGAGAGTTTTACATTCTTTTCTGATTAATTTTACTTTCTTAGGTATTGGTTTGAATACATATAACATACAATAAAGAAGCTAATGAGGTATAACTGCAAAGCACAGAGATAGAAAGTTCATAACTGAGAAAATACCTCAACAGGATCCAGTTGTAGGCAAGCTTATAGGGCATTTTCTTAATTAGTGACTGATGTGAGAGGGTCCAGTGCACTGTGGGTGGTGCATCCCTGGGCATGTGGTCCTTGCTTTATAGGAAAGCAGGCTGAACAAGTCCTGAGGAACAAGCCAGCCAACAACACTCCTCCATGTCCTCTGGGTCTGCTCCTGCTTCCAGGATCTCTGCTCTGTTTGGATTCCTGCCCCGACTTCCTTCAATGATGAACAGTGATATGGAAGTATAAATCAAATCAACCCTTTCCTCCACAAATGGTGTTTTATCATAGCAATAGAAACCCTAGCTAAGACACCTAGTTAATTTAGTTATGTGTGCATGTGTGTGTTTTGTGCACTTATGTGGAGGTCAGAGGACAAGTTGTCAGAGTAAGGTTTCCTATCATGTGGGGCCTGAAGATCAAATTCATTTCATCCTCCTTCAAAACAAGCATTTTTTTTTTTACTTACCAAGCCATCTTGATGGCTCTCATTCAACTTTATTCAAAAGAACAAATTAAACAAAATAACAAACAAAGCTGCAGATAAAGCAAACAAGTTTGCCTGCTTCCTTGATTTTTTTCTCTCAATCAAAACTTCTTAAAATCTTGTGAATTTTATCTTTAGAATATATCTTGAATCTTATCCTTTCCTAAATTCTTCACTGCTACTGTCTTGACCCTTGTTATCACAACCTCTCAACTGGAGTATAGTTTTAGTCAGTTGCTTTTTTTACCCTTCAATTTCCCTTAAGTCTTGTCATAGCATCAGCCAAAGTTCGTGGCATGAGATTTCCTTTTCTACTACCTTTGTAGATGATAATATTTACCAATGTTTTATTATAAAATTATATATATATAGATTTATGTCAGGATTTTCAATTTGATTCTATCAGTGTGTCTGTTTTTGGCCAACACCATGCTGACTTTAATGCTATAGCTTTGTAGTACCACTTGAAATTGGGGATAGTAATATCTCCAGTAGTTCTTTTATTGTTCAGGATTGTTTTAACTAACCCTGGTTTTCTTTGTGTTTCCAAGTGAAGGTCATTTTTTTTTCTTTCAAAATCTATGAGGAATTTGTTGAGTTTTGATGGGGATGCATTGATTTGTAGATTGACTTTAGTTAAGATGATCATTCTTACTATGTTAATTCTACTGATCCATGAGGATGAAAGATCTTTCCATCTTCTAATATTGTCTTTAATTTCTTTCTTCACTGTCACCTTATGCTGGCAAAGATGTGTTGTAAGAGGAACACTCAACCACTTTTGCTAGGAGTGCAAACTCATATAGCCACTATGGACATCATTGTGGTGGTTCCTCAGGATAATGGGAATCAATCTATACATGATTCACTCTTGGGTATATACCACAAGGATGCCTCATCCTACCACAGGGACACTTACTCAATGATGTTCAGTCATATTTTCTAATATTTCAGGAATCCAACATTGACTATTGAGTAGTTATTCAATAATTCTTATTTATAATATAACTCAAGAAATATAATTTTGATTTGGATTTTGAATGAACAGTTCTAACTCTAAGTCTGTGCTGCCTAATATGAAAGACACAATCCACAACTGTCTAATGAGCATTTGAAATATGTTTAAACTAATTTGAAATGTACAGCAGTACAAAGCTTTCTTCTTGGTGGTAAAGATCAGAATGTGAAATGCCTAATATTTTGTATCAATAATTATAGGCTGAGGTAAGTGTTTTGTGTGCTGGCCTAAATAAATCATTCAAAATTTCTCAAAAGCTTAAACATATTATTATTTCAGAATTTTATGTATATGTACAAATGTATTTTAATCATACCTAAAGTCT